ACAAGTCTCAACATAACCTTGCATGGGTATATGGTTTGTGCACAGATGTCGTTGCAGCAGTACACCTGAATACACACCAAAGGCCTGTAATGGAGACAAGTCTGGCACAGGTAAAGGTTTCCCTGAAATAATCTTGGAAGCAAGCACTATACCCAGCTACATACGAAATCAGAGCTCTTGAGCTCTTTCCTAAGCTCTGCTTAGGAAAAGGTCTTGAGAAGATTTTTACTGAACGTGCTCAGGAGAGGTTATTCACGTACTTTGTTTCTTGAAACTTTTTAATGGCAATGACAAGTATGGGACGGGCTGACGGAGAAAGAAGCTTTAAACTTAGCTGGAGTGGTTGTTTCTAATAGGCCACAACTTACAAGATAACATTGAAGATTTGTATGTATCTGAAATAAAGCTAAAAACAAAGTCAATTTTTATCTGCTCATCTCTATTCTCCTAAATTATGCTTAAAATAATGAACTCTAACTGACAACTGAGACTTCCAGAGGCGCATCAAAGGAGAAAGATGGAAAGATACTCCTGGTGCAATCAGTTATGAAAATAATCAGTCTGAAAAAAGCTGTGTGTTTATTCAACAAAACTATCTCAACCTGAAGAGCGTCTGCTCTGCACAAGTTTCCCAGTTGGCACAATCGGGTCCTGACCCTAAGCTGCACCTTTGCACGTTATTACAACGCAAATGATAAAATACACGTGCATACACTTGCATAAGAGAAATTTAATCCTTACTACAGCTGCAAACTCTTGAGTAGCTTCACCTCCGCAACTTACACAAAAGCTCCTTAACAAACCACTTAAAACATTAAACTTCAGCAAAATTTGAGAGAAAAATCTGTTTCTCACACACGTGCACGCACATTCCTTTCCGAGTTAAACCCCACCACTCGCGCTTCTCTGCCTGCTGCAAAAGCAGGGCAGCCAACAGAGAACAGCTCTGTTCTTCGGTGTGAAGCTACCCCGAGTGTAACACTTTTGCCAAAACGTCAAAGAGCTCATCAAGGATTTCATTGACCTTTCCTCTCCATTTCCCTAAGATGCTTTTGGCTGTGAATTCATCCTTGCAACACACTTCTGAGCTGGTGTGAAAGCTGTTGCTCCGAGCTTGAAACGGCTGCCAAGAACCAAGCGCCCAAACCCTCCTTTGCCGGATGGAACTGAATCAGCACGGAAAATAATCATGGCCAGGAAGCGCGTTAGAGCTCAGCCAGAAGAATAAGTTAAACACAGCATTGATAAGCGACGTAAAGACAGCCATAAGACTCTCAAAGCTTTCAAAACTTACACAGTCTCTTTTACACTACGCTTTTCTTCATGCTTATACTATCAAGCAAATATTGTTTGTTTTAAACTAATTACAAACACTGAGCTGAAGTAGAGCAAAGTTTCATTTCTGCCATTCGTTCTCAGGTCAGGTTTTTGTTTTGCTTTAAGTTTATTGCATTGGAAAAGATTAAATAGCTGTCAAAAATTTATATATAAAACATAGATATATATGTATATATATGAAGTTTGTTCTTCCTACAAACGAAATCCGATATCATATATTCCAGTCACCACAACAAAAAGGAATTGCATATTGTGTACAAAAATATTACTCCAGCAGGATTTAAAAGCTGCAGGTATTCAACAGCAGCATAATGAACACAAACCATTTAATCTCTACTGAATTTGAGACCAAGCTGTGATTAGTAGTTCACAGAAGACTATAAAAAAGATATTCTGTTAAGCATGTTAATAGTAGAAAAGTTACCTTGATAAGCTCTCAGGGTCTGTTAGACTAGCAGCTCCTTCGAAGCTGATGCATATCTATTCGTTTGTCCATAACCAGAAAGTTCAACCCTAAAACTAGAGCAAACTTGCTTTTCACGCTCTTAGATGCATATTTGTATGCAAGCTCCCAAAGTAAGTGCACTGTGTGCAATGAAACACAGACATTGAGACATTGAGTGTGGGAAATGTAGTTCCAATCCACCGAGGTGTAAAATTGCTACTTTGGGGAACGATTAATGCTTTTTCAGTGGTTGCATCATGCGTTCACGGTTTACAAAATTAGCACAATTTACCTGGTTAAACCGTAGCAGGTCAAAGTTTGCCTGCTGAAGGCCAAAGACAGTTCATAAGCGCACTGAGTTAACATTCAGAACTCATGTCAGGACTCTGACTCAGTCGCAGGGTCAACGTTAACACTGACAGGACTACCCTGTGCAAGATGCAGCCTTTTAGCCGTGCTACTTTCAGAGCAGAGACACAGGCTAGAACTCATTTTTCAAATTATAACTAGATGTGCTGTTAATAACTTTTGGTGGGGTACCTCCTGTATCATGTCAGTGAGACTGTCTGAAGAACTAACATGTGACACTTGCTTTGCTAACAGACTGGGAAGTAAACTATCAAGTTTTGAATCTAGTCTCCAGTAAATTGCATCTCAAATTCAAGTATCAGATTTTACTTACGTTTATGCAGAGCTCTTGCACTTTTTAATATATTCATAGACATAGGCAAACACATCAGGATCAGATAATGAACGTGGTATGTTAACAGAAACAGCTCCTATTGAAACAATGGGCTTTTGAAAACCTCACCAGGGAATAGACAAAGTGGCAATTATTGTAAACTGTCCAATTTCCATGGTCATTACAATCAGTCCGATGATGATGGAGTTGGCAAACCTACGCTTTAAAATTTTTTGTTTATGCTTGAAAATACTATAAGTTTCCATTACTGGCACATTAACACAAAATCAACACACTAAGAACCATAATTGTAGTATAGTTCAACTTAGTGTCCTCACTTCATTCAAATCTTCGTACCATTCCGTAAGAATTGAAGAAAAATGAACAGAGGAACTGCCTATGAACAGCAAACCAATACCTTAACCAACTCAGAGCCCTGTTCCTAGCAATAATAAATAGTTGGTGCCTCTCATGAAAGTGCAAGGAAACACAGAGTAGAGAGCTATAAAAAAAAGTTTTTGTCCAACCCAAAAAGTTAAATGCTAGCTTATTCTCCATGCAACAGATTTTGAGTTCCTCCCAGAAAATGACTGTTGCCTTTTGCTGGCTTACCTTTCAGAAACAACCTAAGAGGAATAGAAAGTGAGCTCAGAGTGAAAACTGAGGTACGCTTTACAAAACACCAATAAAAAGCTCCCACTGCTCCAGGCTGTATTTTCTCATTCTCAAAGTACTGTTCTCAAAAGCAAGTTTGAGTAATGTCTATCCAAACACCAAGTCCAAATTAACAATTTTTTTTTTCCCACATCTCTTGTAACATAAGTAAAGCAAAGCATAATATTCTCACCTCCTAAAGCATACAGCAATTCTAAAGCTTGCACCATCGACTGTGCAGGAGGTGGCTGTGAAGAAAAAAAGTGCGTTGTTTAAAGTTATCATCATCAGACCACATGAGTTTTCACAAAAATTCTTAGATCTTTCCCTTTCTCAAAATCCTAAATTCTAATTATCTACCTTCCTACCTATCCAGAATGAAGAAAGAGCTCTCAGGCTCTTCCTACTATCCCTCCATTGAGATGAGTGCTACAAGTCAAAACCCTCTCGATGGGCTCAGCATTATCGCTACAATACTCTCAGGATCCTGTCAGTATGCAGAATTAGGCCAAGCTATAAACCACAAACCTCCTTTGTCCAATAGTGATGCCATAGGTGATCAGAACAATTACTTCTTAGCTTTCTCTTCTAATGCTATTATATTAGTTTTTCCACATCAGTACAGGAGCAGCTAGGAACTTTACGGAAAGCAAGTCTAAAAATTGGTATTACTATTTTTAATGACAAAGGCAACACAGATTTGGTTCTGCAGATATGCCTTTTTCCACAGATTCAGTGCAAAGGAGCTACACTTACAGTTTTGCAGAATCTCAAAGACTTTTTCTTTCTAAGCTGTTCTTGACAAAATTCATTCTTGACACTTCTAACAGGAAACTCTAGAACATACACTGTCACTACTTCTACAACACGTTATTTTTGCTAGTTGATTCACAGCAAGCTACTTTGCTGCCCAACAGCAGGCCATGAGGTACGCTTTCCAAAGTAATAGGGCAACGGTTATCGGTTAAAGGCTCCGTGGGTTACAAAGACGACATCCAGTGATCCTCCTTCTCACTGAAGAAGGATGATAGTCTTTACTGTCTAGAACTCACCGAAAGAAAGGAGAACCTGAGCACATTGTCAATTCCCAAAGCCTTCAGCTGCAAGATGACAGGAGCAAGGTTACTGCGCTGCATCTCAGGAACAGTGGACTGCGGCAACTTCTCAAAGTCTTCCTCTGTTGTGGAAAAAAACAAAGCCACCTGGGACTGCGTTTCAGCTCTCTTTGTATGCAGTCAATACGACAGTAATGTATCCATTTCAATTTAGAATTATTGAGTACGAATACTTAAGAGGTGTTAAAAATACTCTAACTCAAATATGACGTTTCTCCAACTACTACATTTTAAGTTACTTGAACCCTTAATACACAACTTCAGTAGTAAATGTTCTCATCTACACTGTTGACTCTGCAGCTGATCCACATTTCAATTTGAAATCTTGTAAATTCTTCACAAAATCTGAAAATGATTAAGTTATTTTTCTAAAAGTTTGATATTTTTATCATGAAAATGAAATGCAGCATGCAAATACTATAAAAGATTTTTTTTTTTAAGAGGAGACAAAGAAAACTTGAAACTGAGCATGTTTTCAGTATAAGAATACCATTTTAAAATAATTACTCATACAAGATGAGGTTTTAAAAAGCCTATCTCAACTGAAAACTAAGGATTGAAATAAAGTACGTGACAAGGCTCTTTTAAAAGTGTGATCACTATAACGTTTAAGTCTTCAAAAATACTTTGTGCAAGTTCAAAAACCCTGTACCTTCCATTAATCAACTATTCTGTAATTCAGTGGAACACTGTAAACATTAACGAACAAGCCAGACACAAATCCACCTCTAGATAAGATTTAAAATTCCGTATCAAGGCAAGACACATTATTTTTACCTGAGTAAGTTTGTTTTCTTTCCAACAACTCTCTTCTACCTCTGGGCATTGACCTTCAGTAATAGATATTACACCTTTTCTTTATTATAGTTTATTCGGCATCCCCCTTCTTTTTTAAATAATAAAATAAAAAAAAGATATTGCTTAAAGTATTCACCATTAAACCAGCTCTTGGGCACAAAAATAACTTCTGTGCAATCACTATTTCTCAATAAGTTACTTAAAAGCTATGTAAACTTGGTATATTATGAAACATACATGAAACCCGCTATTAACATTCTAAAAAGATAGATACCTATTGTTATGAATGCAGAGATCATAAAAAAACATAAGTTATGCACGGCATTGACAACATACATGAAGATACTTGCTTTAAAAGTTTGGCTTGTGATATGGCTCAAGCGATTTGGACGTCAACATGACTGTTAACCCAGGTAGACACACAGTAAGACAGAAATCGGCATCAAAAAACAGAAAGCAACAGCAGTTTGCTATGGATATGAATACCACTTGACTATCTTGTTTTCCCTCCCCTCAAAAAAAAAAAAAAATATATATATATATATATATATGCACACTCACATATATGCATTTATAGATACATCAATCAAGGTGGGACAAGTTATCCCTAGTTAACAATCTTTACTCAAAATGACACAAGAACAGATGCAGAAGAGTAATTTTCACATCTTACACTCCCCATAAACATTTCTAGGAAGAGATTATATTGATCAGATGCACTAAAAATGCAGAGTCTGACTAATCCCCAGACTTATCAGCATCATGACCACCTCCAAAGGAGGAGGTATTCAGCACTATTTCACTTGCCAAAAAAGATCACTGGCCAAATCTGAACTCTCAAATGAGATTTTAGAACACTATATTGACAAATTCTCCAAACGTGAATGGAAAGAGGTGCTTTGTTTCAAAGGTACAAGGATCACACATACAAAAGACAACTAGAGGACTAATAACTTTTTTTTTTTTTTTTTTGGTATGACAGATAGGCAATTAAAACTGTTCTGTAATATAGCCAGAGACCAATCCTGTGAAATGTTAAATGCATCTCTCACAGAGATATAGGTAGGTCTAGGTCACGTATTTCAAATATAAATTATTAATCTCAACTACCTACTACGATTTGCTTTACTCTGCAGGTTCTCACAGTCCACAAGTATTTTTGCTAAATTTAAAGCAAGAACTACTACAGTCAGTCTTGATTCTTCAGTGGACACACAGATTTAGAGAATAAATCCTATCTTATCTTTATTTAAAATGGCAACTGCTGGCAAGCACACAGACATTTTGTAAAGGTCTGCTCGATCTCTTTAAGTCTCAAAGCTCCACTACAACTAGAAGGAACCTGAGGCACATAAGCAATTGCATTACTCTACCGTAAAGCCTATTCTCATTAAAGGAAACAGCTGAGAACAGAGACAGCTGGATTGCAACTTTCTGAACATTACCAGATGGCTGACAGATTCATTTATAGCAGTTATTTTTGTACAGTGCCAGCCCCATCAGTTCAAGAGCAGTGTTTGGGGTTGGCACTTATTGCTAAGAAAGGGAGACCACACAAGGAGGAAGTTTTCCTCAATAATTTGAAGAATTTCCAAAGTTCTTTGTTAGACACGCAATCTAAGAGACTTTCATCATGGTGCAGCGTATCATAGGTGAGTACTGCAAATTGAAGCAAATGCTCAGAAACCAAAGCATTAAAAAGACAAACATCTTCGCACGCTTGCCGCTAAGAATTGCATCAACATTACAGGCTTGCAATTGCTGCCAGTCTCATAGCACCTCTCCCGCTCAGTTTGTACTTATGCTTCATAAAAAGATTTGGCTTCTAATGCTTAGTACATACGAGAAATGCATTTCTAAATAAGCCAGAGGAATACTGAAGGAAAAGTTCTATCTCCTGTTGAGGGAAAAAACAGCAGTTTTGCTCTCCTTAACCTAGCGTTAAAAATACTGTAAAATGAAATGCAAGCCACACAACAGCAAGTTCACCTACCCTGCACATTATCAAACTACTGACCTGTATAAAGTCTGTAACATTTTCCAGAGCGGTTCCGGCCTGCACGTCCTGCTCTCTGATTAGCCGAAGCTTTAGATTCTGGTACCACCACAAGACACTCAATGGCTGTTTTCGGATTATAGGCCCGAAGTTTCACAAAACCACAGTCAATTACGAATGCAATGCCATGAACTGTGATAGAGGTCTCAGCAACGTTGGTGGCTACTATCACCTGCAGATATGGACACAAAGAGGATACTGTGAACTCTCCAATCTCCGTAACACTATCAAACCCTAGCATCAGTGCACCAGGTCTCAAATACAAGCCCCTTGAAATATCTTAGACATGATAGCTTCAGTAAACACACTCTAGAGTACAAAAAAAATACAGTACATGCAGCAGCAGCTGTCAACTTGAAATAAGTCCAGTTTTCACAGTTTCACAATCAGTTTCTTATTCAAATTTATTCTCTCTTCATAAAAGTGGAAGAATTTGGCTGCCTTTGCATAGAAACTATAATCGATCTGACTGTGTATCAAGTGTTCTCACGCAGCAAACTAAAAATAGTTTCTTTCTGCTTCTCAGTTATATTTTAAGTGTTACTTGTAACACTGGAGTAGGGCAGTGGAAGGAGAACAGTCAGTTAATTGTTAAATGATCAGTATTCCTGCAGAGATATACTTGCATATATGCCTTAAAATATTTTGTTTTCATTGCTGCAAGAAAACGGGGAAATTTAATCTCTGTTTCACTTAAAACTAAAAAGTAAATCTTTGAAGATAATTAATTAACGCCATATCCTGGAGAGAAAAGCAGTATTTCTCTATCACTCAACATCCTCCAACACCAGATAAACAATTTTACTACCCAGAGCCCAGCAGGTGCAAGAAGTCTAATAACTCACTCCTGAAAAATTGTCAGTGGGCCTCAGCCCCAACACAGACTCTGCCTAAGCAGAAAGCACTAATCATGCCCAATTATATAATAGTTCTGTCATGTTTAACATCCAAACAAGACTTGCAGAAGTCAAAACAAACCCTTTTTCAACAAAGGCAAGCAAGTTTTAACTTGTTTCTTAGGTAAAAATTCAGCATTTACCCAATCCGTCACTATTTTACCATCACTAGTGGAAAACTTCAAAAGACACTTAAGACGACAAAAAGAAACAAAAATAGGTGAAAGTAGAGAACTTCAGAGTGTAAGAAGCTGCAGCTGGCTGTAGACAAATACAAGGACATGCAAAGACATTTAAAAATTGAAAAGTTGATGAGGGAGACAGGAGAGTTATGACTAACATGTAGCACTGAACAAAAATGAAAAGTGAAGCCAGAAAAACATGTTGCTGGAGAATCAGTTTCACATTCTGAAAACTGACAGGCAGTATTAGGAGATCCAGAAAATTCGCCTACATCCAAAATGGAGTTTGCAATATTTTCATGATGTGAACATTACATAGGCAATCTGTGAAAAGCAGATACCCTTCTGGGTGATAGAAAGGAAGACGCGCGATACACAGCAGCCCTACCTTTCTGACACTCTGAGAAACTCTTTCAAACACTTTCATTTGCTCAGCAGAAGGCAGCCCAGCATACATAGGGAGAACACGGAGGTGTTTTTTCATTCCAGTGCGAGAAAGGGCCCGAGCCTGTTCTATTAGCATAGAAACAACAGTTTCTACCTCCTCCTGGAACCATATCAAAAGAGAAGACAGAATATGAGAGATTTTGCTTTTATATATATATATATATATAATATTCTTATATAAAATTGTTATTTATATGAATACATACTTATATAAATATTTATATTCATCGTTATTTGAAACGGCACCACACTCCACTATTGCATGAGAAAAACCACCAAGAAAGGACTGAACATAAAGTTCAGTAAGGAGGAACTAGGGGTGTTCTCCTGTGCATTGCTAAGCTGTGACAGCAAAATGAGAAGCCAGTCTATTTTGATTGTGCAGAATGTTGTGCGTCTAGATCAACAATGACAGTGAGAGCATTAACATCTGCTGTTCAAATTCGTATTTAGTCTCAGAGATCAACGCAGATAACTTCACCCTTAGACACAGACAGCAAAACTTTTAGACATCATCTCATCAGTTACTCAATTCGCTCTTTTGAAGCCAAATCAATAATTAGGGATGGAGAATTTCTCTTGGAAACATACAGGACTTAACAGAAGATACTACTGAAGCAATTCAAGGGAGCTTGCTTCTTGCTGGAAGAAAGATAAGCTACTCTTGTGTGCAGCAAAGTGAGCTGACAGACATAAATAGTGCAGAAGAGCTGGAACAGAGATTTTTACATCTCTAATTTCTTTCTCTGTCAAAGATTTAAGATTTTAAGTCTAATAAATATAAATTCCATTTGCTTTGACTATTAACAATGACTCACTGTCAATGTAGAGCTTTGTAGGTCTGACTAGTACCAAAAAACATGCACTGTTCTGCTGGTTAGTGACGGTGAAAGCATAGAGCACAAAATGAGAAAACCATTAGTAACTATTGAACTTTAGCTCTGAGAAATCCAGGCCGTTCCATAGTTTTTCTAGAAATCATTGGGACTGGCCCAATTCTACTCCCATTGATCATTGTCTTTAACGGGAGTAAAGTAAGCATAGCTAAGAAAAACAGAAGGCTTCAAACAGCCTTCAAACAGGCCACGAAGGCTTCAAAAAGGCCACATTATAATACTGTAAAGCAAAAGCTATGTATTAATTTTGTCTACCTGGCCAGTTAAAAATGCCAGTATATCACCATCATTTTCTGTCTGATGAATTTTCATTGCAGTTTCCACAGTTGATTTTATATAATCTGGAACAGGACTGTGGGGAGAAAAAAAAAAGCAGAGACATTAGTGGAAAAATAAGTACAGACTCTTCACTTCAGTAAGGAAAGAACAGACAATTTTTGGATGTTTTAAATCAACCGTATCAATCATGGTGCATCCTTGGGAGTCAGCTTTCAGCAAGTCATTTGTTTCCTTCACACCACTGTAAGCTTAGAAATGTTTTATTTACATCTGTTCTGCTGCTACAAGCAATACCCTGCTTTTTTTTTTTTTTTAAATTACACGCTATCTTTTAAAGCACATATTCAAAGCGTTTACTACAAATGCATAACCTAGCTACAATCATCAGCCTGATCTAAGGAAAAAAATGCAACCATAAGGATTTATACATTTTACTATTCCAATATTTCATACGATCAATTTAATGTTTTCTGGACATGCTCCCAAACATGTACATGAAGCATGGCATCTCTCCACATAAAGTGAACTGACATAACGAGAGCTGTTTATACAAATGTGAATTCATGGGCACATAAATTAGAAGGCTCTTTTGAGCATCCTGCCCTAATGATTTCCACCTGTGAAACTGCAGTAATATTAAAGAATGAATGCCTTTAAAAATCCTCCCTCTGCACTCTCTCAGAAAACTATAAATCACCTGCAGAACACAGACAAATTAAAAAAACAAACGCTCTGGGGGATTCTGGGAGGCTATAAGTACTTCTTCCAAAATGAAACCAAAGGAAGATCAATCTGTCCCATAACTCGCCCTCTTTGTTTGACCAAGGCAGCCACCCTCCATCATCGTGTTCAACATCAGACCTGGTCAGGAATTGAAGGAAACTGTTAAAGAAAATCCAAATGTAACACAAATGGTGATGCTGACTTAGAAGATGGAGAGCTCAAGTGCCAATATCATGTATCTCTGTGCTGTAACCTAAGTTTGAACAACTGTTTCCTTAAAATGTAGCTTGTCTTGTAGTTCCTTATTAGTTCTTAACAGTAGTAGTTCCTTATTAGTTCTTAACTATAGTTATGTCCCTGTGTCCTCCGGGGAAACAGCAGTAAGTTAACGGGTACGTAATCTAATAACTCATCATCTTTTACCTATCTCACTACCCATATTTCTCCGCTCAGCAAGAGTACAAACTGAGCACTAAGGCAAACAAAAAAAAAAAAAAAAAAAAAAAGAAAAATAGGCCTCTAAGGCCACTGATTTTGTTCCTTCAGTTCTGTGGACAACAGGGAATATGATGCTGCTGTCAGGTTTGCTTACATCCCTTCTGTAAAAGGAAGGAATAAAAATATGTTTGGTCTTGCTCCCTCCAAGGAAAGGGCATAGAAAGGATATCAAATCCTCACAGCGATTCGCTGAAAGTCTGACACTGCTGGATGGTGCAAAAAGAAGAGAAAGGGTCCCAAAACCATTCTTCTGTAATTAGGTCTCCTCCTGCCCCTCACAAAACCAGAACATTGATTCAATCAGGAAGAAAAGCCATACCTGTATCTTTAATTTGTCGGTGCCAAAACCATGAAAGTATTTTGAAAGAATGGCGATGTTTCCCAAACTAAATATTACACCTTCTCACCCTTGACCTGGGAACTTCTGATCTTTTTATCTAGTCAAAATGACACCACTGATACACGTTCCCCTAATCACCGCTTACAAGATCAAACAGGAACAGACCTCTGCACGTAAAAGATGTCCACTGGAAATGTTCTCCCCTGCACAGTAAGGATCACACTGGTATCTTTGCTGGGGTCACTGGTCTCATTTTGATTAAAGAAATCTCTGAATTTCTAAATTAAAATCAGAGACAAACACTTTCAGTTTGATACTTCAAAGAATTGAAAGAAATAAAAGACATGAAGAAGTCAAATCAGTACTACTTGATTAACTTCTCTACATATTTAACAGTATTTTGATGAAGTTCCGATCTTAGAATTTTAAAGCTAGATTCTGACGTGTTTTATTCTGGATGGGATTCAGGCATTTCACACAATTAGGCTGTCTTGCATATTTAAGAAGCAAAGACTGAAAGGAGGCAATACAATTAAGTAGATCAGAAGATATAGCTGGGAAAAGCAGACATTGGCTCTTCTACAGCAGTAGCAAACTCAAAGCTAAGCAGAGCATAGAAATGATTGTTCTTAAAGGTTTGGGGGAAGGGCTTGTATATTCTTTTACATTTTTTGGTGAATAAGTATATTTTACAGCTCTGACTAAACAGCGATCTCCCTCTGTAAAAGTCAGTTAAGCTGACCGTAAACTTGATTTGTGTGTTGCGACACCTTCCTCCATTTAAATTTATTGCCATGAAGTATTTTAAATGTTCTACAGCAATAGAATGAACAATAAGAACCCAAGTAGTTGATCTCTATTTTTCTGCACGTTGAAGAGGTATAGTAAACTTACTATATTTAAACAAATGTGTATATAGAGCCATAAGTTAATATGACTAAAATTATTAGTATTTCTTCACGTTAACGGTAAGATTTTCAAAATATAAGACTTCTGACAGATAAAATCCTGCAAAGGTACAGTACTGTAATGCTAGCTTACACTACTATATTCTGTATGTGGTATAAGTACCACCAAGTATGGCACGTCGTCAACATTTACGGCACGTCATCAACATTTATGACACATTGATATTTGCTGCTAAAGAAAACCTCAGTACACCTACGCTGCCAGTGCTACGTGCACCACATCTCATGAAGGACATAAGACAGGTAGGAAAAGCACAGAGGAAGCATTAAAAAGATCAAGGGGACAGAGCAGCTGCTTTATGAGGAGAGACTGGAAAGGCTGGAGCTCTGCTCAAAGAGCAGGAGATGGAGAAGGCACACAAATGGAGGTTTACACAATCAAAGATGACAGAAGAAGCAAATGTAAATCTGTTTTGTTTTGTTTTTTGTAAAACCAAATCCCACAGTACCAGCAGCAGGAGGCACTTGATGAAGCTACAGGTTTAAGACAAATAAAATACATCATTATATAACAGGTAGCAAACTTCTGGAAATTGCTCTCACATGAGGTTATGTAGGCTTACAGCCTCGTCAGGCAGATTCAAAGACAAATTAACAGACAACAGGGCAGAAACACATACTAAAAGGGATTGGCAGAAATGCACCCTCTAATATCCCTGTCACAACCGTTATGGATGCTGCGATAGTCTAAAGAGAATGGACCCACAGAAAGCGGAGAGACTTGTGTGCTCTCCCTGAATAGCATCCCCTAATGCTGCTGCTATAGACAGAACACTGGGCTGGACAAACCAGTGGTCTGACATAGGAGGGCATTTCTTTTGTTCTTATTCAAAGCTAAGTTAACTGTTAAATGAATCACGTACGTTCTTCTAATGAGTGATTCTTGCTGTCTTATGTTTACTCATGATTCACTAAGTTATATAACTTTTCACAGGCTCCAAGTCAGTTGGGGAACTAGTGAGATCTCACTGCAACAAAAATCAACTCGTTAATCACTTTTTACTCGTCAACGGTTGTCTCAAGGTATTTCTATCATCAAAACAGCTAAGCCAATGACTTTAATTAGACTAGTTTAAGACAAGAGAACATCTTTTTATACAACACTAGTAAGAGGAGAAAAAAAGCCATAAATACACAAAAAGCAGATTCATACCTTCAAGAAATGCATTAATACAAAATAAAAAGCAAACAGAACAATTTAACTACAGCAGATTCTTTTCCTGCACTTCTCATTCTCCTCATCAGCACTCAAACAGCAGTAACGCTTCACAAGAAGCGGACAGCACGTAAAGGACAAGCTGTCCATAAACAGAAGCGGAGCTGCCACTTGAGGTCACCTCATTTCAAACTAAACCTTTGAGCTATACCTCCGCATCCAAGGTGGCTGAAGCTACAATCAGTCGAAGATCCCCACGCTTCTTTTGAACCTAAGATAGAGAGCAAGAACATACACAGTAAAAACAGTTTTGGGGATACAAGTCCAGAAACAAAGTTTTACAGCATCCAGACCACCAATGACTCCTCTTTAGAAATACTTCAGTTGCCATCAAACAGCCAATGAACCCTTATCACCCCAGACTTATGAACCTGAAGACTGTGTATGGAGCTTTATATATTTATTTATTTTAAGGCCAGGAAAGAATGAGTGCTATGTAGCCTGTAATCACTATAGCTTACTCCTCATTTCCCGTGGGAGTCAGATTGTTAGTAGGCTGAAAGTTGACAGTGGATGCCTATCAGACTATCAGGTCACTTCACAGGATCAGAAGCAGCAGAATGAAGACTGCCTTTTTGCTAATATCATCTCACTAGAGGAGAAATTACACTGCGGGGGGAGGGAAAGGAGTTAGAGGCACTTGAGAGTGAGATGTGGAAAATAAATAGTAGGGTATGTCCAGTAGGCTGTAGGATAAATGAAGAAGTAGAAATCTGTCTCTCAAACGGGTTCACTAATCAGCCATCTGGACCAGAGTTTTAGTGGAAAGGAAGGAAATGTAAAAGATGATAGAAGATATTAAACAAACAAACAAACAAACCAACCTTTTTTAATAAGCCAATGGCAATATCTGTATAAAGAGTCCTTTCATGGGCTTCATCCAGCATGAGAACACTGTGAATAAAGCAGAAAGATGAGAATTTAGGAATGGCTTGGCTGATACCGAAATCACTGTCTTTTTGTCTGCTATGAAATACCATAATTTGAAATCTGTGGGACTAATAATGCTCACATTCATCTAGAAAACTGTGGAGATTATTAAAAAAATATATATTTTTTTTTAAAGGCAGAGAGGCAAAACGTTCCACTTCCAAAGTCGGGGGGAAAAAAGGTTAATAACTACCTCTAGTACATACTTATTATTCTTTATTTCAGGCTAGCTTTTGGAAAGGGGTAGAAGGAGGAAGATCAGTCTTTACTGCACTGCAAAGGTTTTCTGGATGCCAGAAATAACATTTTTTGTTGTTTCTTTTTTGTTTTTAATTTGATTAGCATGACAAATAAAAAGTGAAAACTAGTAGATGAAAAGACTCATACTCCAGGAGGCCCGTTTATCTCTTGTTCTAAACCCACGGCACCAAATCCTGCTGCATTTGGTGTTGCAATGACCAACTGATTTACTAACAGTATTTAAAACATAAAAAAGCCAAGCTTCTAAATAATTTTCAAAGCTTTGTGTTTCAGCTAATACCAATCGTACCTCACTCAAAAAAAATTAGTCATTCACCAATATTACACTTTAGCAAGCATTTATTCCATGCTTCCTTACCTGTACCTTGTTAACAACGGATCAGCCATCATCTCCCTCACCAGCATACCGTCAGTTAGAAACTAAAAGTGAACGCAAATAAAAATGCAAAATAATCCAAAAAAATTTTTTTAAAAAAACTAAAAGGTAGTTTTGATTAGCTATGTTATTTTTTAGGCTTTCGCCTAAATTTCTTCTTGCCTTTCATTTTCTAATAACCCATTGAATTGATCTACTTTCAGCATGGAAGCCAAAGATGTACTTCTGAGTGCTAGTCCTGAAGATAAGCAAAGTGGCTTTTTTTAACCAGTTTTGAATTTCTGAGAAGGAGTTATTTTTCTATTGAAAAAAATAAAAGATTGGTACCACTGGAACAAGGTAATTAAAGCTTTCCTTCACTCTTGCCTGTACCATGACTAAACCTCCTCTACAGATATCATTCTCTGCACTAACCCAGTCCTGACCCTCTCAAGGAAGGGTTCTTAATAAGTATCATGACTCCAATAAGCACAAGAAGTTAACATTTAAACAAAACACAACATTTTGATTTGATACTTTTTTCCTACTAGCCAGTACAAAGATAACAGCTTTATGCAGCTATCAAACAATAGTTACTATTGACCTGGGACTCAGGCTGTGGCCTTGAACAGGGCAAGAACTGGCCATCAAGATCAAAACCTCCAAATTTCCAAACCCAAATGATGAATCATCACACTCAAAAAAACTCAAAGACTTCAGCTGCACTTAATAAACATCTCAGTTTCCTTCACTTTAAAAAGTGCTACTAGCCTCAGAAAAAAAAAAAAGAGTTAATTATGTAAATCTCAGTCATCATCATCGCTATTCCAAAGTAAATAAAGCTAGCTCTCATCTTTATGCAACACAAACAACATGAATACTGCTCACTGTGCTAAAGAACAGCTGCAAAGCTTGCTATTTAATCCACATCAGATCACTTTCAGCTAGTCTGTTAATTTTCTATCTGCATGTTTAATCAAAATCTATTTAGGGTGGTGAGGATACTTAAGCTTTGATTCACTGCAGCTTTTCACAATTACTTGGAGCAGCATATCAGGTCACATTCACACCGTAGCAATATCTGACCATAACAACCTTGAACATCTCCTTTAGGTTTAAAACAATGGCCGCCGGATTAGCAGGACAGAACACATATTCATTTTATTAAGGTCTGAATAGCCACAACCATTTTAAGCACACTGTTGGCGTACCCACCCGGAGAACAGAAACGCTATACATCCTCTTTACTAGGCATCATAAAATTCTCATCAATTTTGCAGAAGTGCTGCAAGAGTTTCTGCTAACCATTTCGGACTACCTACATATTGTTCAAGTTTCACCTTAATTCTTGTAGCCTGTGGATCTGTGCAGTCATCAAACCGAATACAGTATCCAACTTCATGACCCAACACTGCACCCCTTTCATCGGCAACTCGGCCTGCAACCTAAAAAAAAGAGATTCTCATAACAGATGAGACAGCTCACAGCAAACTTCTTTACTATATCATCATTTTGGTCTGTGGAGAAACAATATGGAAACAAGAACACAACTACTGATTCCAAAGAACTATTTGTTCTCGTTCCACAATAAATTTCTGCTCAATATAACAGTGTGTATTGAACGTACAATCGGTAATTAGTTTTAAAACAGTTTAGTATAATTTAATAAATCCGTTTCACACTGCTTCTACTTGAGAAAGCTACAGAGGTATCTTTCTGAGCTAAGTACTCTGATAGACCTGTAAAGGCAGACACTCAAGCAGTCACAAAGAAGAAGACTTTATGCACTGGAGAAGAACAGGCTAGCACTCACCTCCTCCTACCCAAAACAGGCTTCATAGCAGAGAGGTTGCACAAAGATCTTCTATTAGAGTATCTTTATGTGAGTAATTTTGTATTTTTAATGTTTAAAGCAGGAAAATCTATTGGTTTAATTCTTGGTTGGAAACTGCACCTACCAGCTAAGCTTTTTCTTCCTGCAACAGCCCTAAAAGTTTGAGTGTAATTTAACACTGAGTGTAAAATGAGATCACTAAATAATTCAGGAAAAAAAATCCTACCTCTTAAACACTACTAACTTCTAAATTCATCTGTAAACTGTATTTCATCAGACTATAAAGGAGCCCAAGTTCAGCTGGCTATGAAATATTAATAAAAATATCTTTCACAAAGTTCACATGAATGAAGAGCAGCCTACTGTGGTTTTCTATAAACAGAAGGTCAAAGACAACTTAATGAAGCCTTCCTAGGGTTAAACTGAACTTCTTGGTAAAACAGCCTGCAAGCTATTGTTTGGGGCAGCGTTTGTGTCTGTTTAAACAGACTATTCTCAGAATAATCAAGAAGGATAAAGGGATAAAGTTTGTCAATGGCGGATTTTTAGGCAGGTTTTATTTTTGCAGCAATTAGAAACCATCTTTACATACTTATGGGGCGGGGGAGAAGGATTCACATATACACGCTGTAAAAAGTAGTTCTGTGAAAGGCTACTGCTTTATTTAACTTTTGATTTTAGTCAACTAAAATAGAGTAAAAACTAATTTAACCCCCCGTTGCCATTTAAATGCTATTTTTCTACAGAGATGTGTTATCAACATTTAAAGTTCTACTCGGTGACTATTTCACTTAACAAGTTCTCTAAGTCCCCCCATTTCTATAGGAAGCTCACTGTCTGAAACTAAGCTCATGAGTAAAAGAAACAGTTTATTTAATAAAATGCTCAACCTTTATTGGCTTTTGCAATTTAAAGTGAATTATGAGCTTACAAAAATGCAAAAATGACTACTCTGGAGACTGAGGGGAAAAATACTTTTCAAAAAAGGCTGTATCTATTTAGCATGCACATTAATAAAATGGCATGATGAAATCAAATATCTGAACATCCAACTTGTTAAGGGAGATATAGTTGAATCAAAAACATATTATAATGTATTTTAAGCTATCCTGCTAAATCTACTCAACAAAAAAACATTTGGAGGAGGGTTGTGTTTTTCCTCTGATATTAGTACACTTTCTGATTACAGCTAGAATTCACCTTGAGATTCCTTGTGCTGCAAAGTTTGTTTCAAACCCTGGAAAAGAGTTTTTATTTATAGCAATTCTCAACCCAATTTTTAATCCAACTGTGAACATTTCTCCTATTACAGAACTCTTTCAAAAAGCACACTTCAGTTTCAGCTAGGAGGTCCTTTTGCTCAGACCTGTACAAAACTAACAAGAAAATAGCTTCTCCTTAAACAGCACTACCTACCTCACTACTCGACACAGAAGCCAACTGCTGCATCCCCAAAGCTCCCTACTGACGCTGATGAGGTGCCATATCAGGATAGAGCAGTCGGCTCACATACCAGCAATTGTGGGACTGCAGCCTAAGAACACAGCTGGCATGCGAAAAAGTAAAGACTATGTGTACTTGTACATGGAACGTAGAAAAAAGTTATCAGTTAAGCTGATCTGTCCCCGAACTTAGTCTGACTGCCTAGTATTATTCAAAGATGCTACTGTCATTTAAAGGATTCCAAATTTTTCACACGAAAAACATATTAAGACCAGTAGAATAATTAAAAAACCCAGCAATTTGGGCACAGTATCACCCTGAGCCAGTTGTAATCCAATAGCTCATTAAGAAAAAGCTAAAATATTGAGTTATTCAGATATTTAAAAGACAGAAAAAAAAAACCAAACATATGCATTAGCCCTGTTAAAATTAACAACAGCAACCTATCTTCAGTCATTTGAATGATGTTCTAAATTATACTGATAGGCTATGAATCACTATTTCACTTGGAAGCTTATCACTCCATTGCTTTCAGCCCAAGTCCTCAAGATAATTGTCAGCCTGCGTAATTCAAACAGAAGTCTGGGATTCTCAAAACTACCCTTTTTGCCTCTGCAACTCCCTCTGTTCACTTCTGACAATCTCCATACTCTAGCTAGGAAAGCCGATGAGCACAGTGATCAACAAAAATCAGTTTCAATTCCAGTCAAAGTAATAAATTATCAACTCTCTCTTTTCCCTGCAACAGTCAGAGTTCAGGCAGTTTGCAACATTCTCAAAGAATCATCCCACTGTGGCTATACACTAAGCCTTAACTGAGCAATCATTGTCTTTTAGACTTAATATGTTAAAGGCACAAAAGGGAAAAGAGAAATATGTTTATCATGACAAGTGCCTGCAGTACCTACAGTATCAAACAGCGCACTGTCAGCTGGATGTGCTGTGAAGGAGAGAAGGAAGGACACTGCAGGCAGCCTGCCCAAAAGGCAAGATGCAAATCACTGCTAAAGAGAGTTCCCTATCATGTCTGATCTGGTCAAAGAATATTGCATGAGATAAATCAGAAAAGTATATCACTGCTCAAACTACTTCATTTTTACCAGAGGTATACGTCAATTTGGTGCAGGTACAGTTTAGTATCATTATAAAGAACAGGCTATAAACAAAATGAGGGTTACCAAATACTACCTTAATTTGGTGTAGAAAGAGAATGCTGCAGCAGACAGACTTAAGCCCACTGGTTCAGCATTTGGCAGCAGCTATGGAAACAAAAAGCACTGGGCAGTCTCTGTGCAGAATATCATCACAGAACAAGCTGCTGCCCTCAGCATTCCCTCTTCTACCTCTCATAGTACATCTGGCTGATAGCGTTTGGTTTTGCTAGACGCACCACGTATAGCACAAAGATTTATCGTGATAAGATACCATTTCTTTTCCCTTCTCTTACAAGGGGAAAAAAAAATCAAGGAAAGTAGATAGGAATTGCTAGAAAAATGCATGCTTCTTCCACTCATTATGTCACTGTACTTATATTTACGGCCTACTTTACTTTGTGAAGGAAATTAAGGATCACACAAGCAGAATTCTAGTCCAGATTCAGTCTTAGCTCAATCTCGCACAGCCTTAGCTTCCTGTACACAGTTCTGCTGATGTGACTAAATTTTATTTCAAAGCTTCTACATCTGCTATTCAAGATGTAGCATCTTTGACAAGACCTACTAATCAGGCTGAATTCACTGTTTAGTACCAGTAATCTGCAAAGAAAATAAGCAGAAAAGTCAATTCATTTAGGAGCTCATACAGTTGTTATTCTTGTCATTAAACAAGAATTGCTAATAAACTAATTCTGCAACAACCAAATAAGTCAGCTAATATAATAAACCTCAACCTGACATTGCGCAATTTTTATTAAAAAATTGCAAAAAAAAATTCAAATTTCTAGAGAGAATTAACAGAAAAGTAACTTGAACTGGAAGGGTTTTTTTGTTTGTTTGTTTGTTTTTACAAAGTGGAAAAATTTGGATATGGAGAAACTCACTGAAACAGCAGCAACTCGACGAGGCTGCGTCACCCCAACAACTCTTCCTTCAGCTGTCCAACCAGCTTCTGCTAGATACTGCAAACAAATAATCAGTGGTGGGAAATTAACCAGTTATCCTATGATTACAGCAAGGTGTTGGTTCTACAAACTCCATGCTTATCCCTGGTTCTGACACTAACTGATGGATGACTTTATGCAAATCAGTTACTTTGAGAGTTAATGGATTATTTGTTCTTCATAAAACAATTCATAAAATTCTTCACGAAATAAATACGTAATTCTACAATACCTACCTCCTAAGAACATTAGAGTTCAGAAAGCATGCTAAAAGCAATTCTTTGGGTCTCAAACACATATTCAAATTACTTCCCTTTTTCTCTTCAAAATCCCTATTTTGTAGTCTCTTTAAGGAAAAAATAAGCAGCACAAGTCTAGTGATCACACCGAAGCAGATGACATTCATCATTAGTTTGTAAGTTTTTAAGTTGGTATCAAAAACTAACTTTTATATATTCTTGGACTTTTTTCATTCCTGTCACAAAAGAGAAAAATTTTACAAAAATACAAAAAAATCCTGGAAAAATTTTCAACTGTAAAGAAAGAGCTTAAGAAATTTGTACCTGGAATGTTCTTTACTTCTTAAAACCATGTTATTAACAACAATTTAAAAATAATGCTGATAGAGTAATAAAAATGAAAACGCTAGTCTAGCCAAAACAAACTTACAGGTTGCACATGGTCCTCTACTGCAGTGGAAGAAGGCTTTACATTAAAGATATACCAGCTCCTGCTATCTAACACGAAGCTTTCTATTTCTCTGGGTCACACACTTAAGCACAGGTGAATTCCATTCATTCAGTGCAGTTCTGGGGTGCTGATATAACACTTCATGTGCAATACCCTGAGAAAATATCTAATTTTACCAAGTTATACACATACTTACCTGCGGAATCTGGGTTGATTTCCCACATCCTGTTTCCCCAACAATCACTAGAGTTTGATAGCTTTCTACTAGGTAAAGTATGTGATTTCTTAGCTGAAAGAGAGAATAACAGATGTGCACAAAAATAAGAACATAAATTAAAAGTACAATATCTACATACCTAACAGATATAGTAAATTCATTTTACACAGTTTGCTGTCAAAAGTTAAATAGTTCCTTAAAATCTATAAATACAATGTGCACAACACATAGTAATTAACGTAAATCTACAACGTCTATTAGAAAAAAAATCTGCTGGTAACAGTTGTCAAACTGGAGACTAGATTCTAACAAATAGTGAGAATAAGGTAACACAATTATTACTCTAAGTTGTAAAGTGATTCTATACTGCTTTTTCAAAAACACCCATGAAAGCCAGACATCATGAAAGAGTCAACATATTAAGAACTTCTCTACCTTAAAAACAGGCAGCTTTTGTCTTTGTTGCTCAATAGACAGGGAAGCATAAGGATTATAAACGATGGTTACACCACTACTCTCAGCAGGACTCTGTCTCTCCTCTGAGATACTGACACCAGGACCTTCTGTGCCTAGATGACATAAGTTAATTTTAATAAGAATAGACTTTTGTCTAGTGTTTCACAACACAACCCAAATAAATACGTTCCGTATAAGGAGGAATCACAAATAGCAGAATATATTAAAAGACTAACATTTCTAACAAAAAAAAAAAAATCAGACATTTAATAACAATAAACAAATGCTTTTAAGTGAAATGTGTCTTCTGGTCTAAGAATATATACATTTTGAATAAATATCTGAAATTTTAAAGGACTATCGAGGAGAAAGAAAGCACATAGAAGAAATATATAGCAAGACATCGGGACCTTTCTTGTTTTTCTCTATGGCAGTTCAGATATATTTTCAACATCCTTCTCAGAAGTATCCCCATGGGCTTTAAGCCCGGCAGCAAAACATACAGCAGAACTTCCTCTGAATGACATGAAATGTATAAATATTCAGGCTTGCCTACTTATGAGATATACCGCTCACGTCAGATCTAAATCTTCTTCAGTAACTGAAATGCGATTT